TGAAGCTAAATCAAATATTATATCTGCTAATTATAATTTAGTGTTTTAATGATACATTTATTAAGGACAGGTGAAAGATAAAGAAATAACTCTTTACAAGATTTTTTTAACGTTATGCATAATAGTATAAATTATGATGATATTATGAAAAAAAAAAAACTTCAAGTGTGCTTTCTTTTAAAAATATTTTTCACAAACAGGGATTTCGGATTTAACCGGAAGTGACTATTTTAAACAGAACTTTTTATACCGGGTGTTTTTTAAGGTGTAAACATCACTATTCTTTAAGCGAAAATGTCAAAAGTTGGCATATGATATGTCATTCAATTTAGAATGTCATTTTCCGTCAAATAAAGTAAAAAATAAAGAGAGTACATTTTAAATATCAAAAATTATAATGTGATTCGGTTAGTTATAGTCACTTCCTGTAAAACAGGAAGTGACTGTAACTAACCGAATACATTTATTAATCCTGATTAATGTCATATACCGTGCTGGCAACTGTTACTTTTGGGTCGGCATTTACATGTGTGGAAGTAAATCGCATAGGGATCTTATTAAGTCGGAGTGAGAGAAATGCGACGGTGTGCTATTGCGTCGTTGCCGGTACGCCTTTCCCTATCAAGTAAAGTAAAATCATGATCGCAAACCGCTTATTTTTAAAAGACTTTTTTTTCAAGAGATAACTAGATAAAATCATTAGACATGTTTCTGAGCATCTGAAATGGAATTATAAGGATATTGTTAGGGTCTCATTTTTTTATAACGAGAAAACGTCAGTAATCGCGATAATTTAAAAATTCAAGTTTTTAACACATAACAGGCCATAACTCAAGAACCACTTTAGATACTGAAACTTTTTTTTTATTTTCAAGATCGGATATTTTACAATAGTTTACATAAGAAAAATTCGATATCGGTTGTTTTTTCCATTCAAAAATTGTAAACAATCCATCCATTTACTTTTAGAGCACAGCAATTTTCAGCAATCGTGTAATTTTTTTATTGATAAAGATTTTCACATACTGTTTACAAAGAAAATATAGCAGAAATATTAACAAAGTTCTTGGAAAAACTACAATCTATTATTTCTAATAGATTTCGAGATATCGATTTTTGAAGAGTTCTAATAGCGCGACCACTATCGAACACCCATTCAATTCCACTTATTTTTACCAAAAATGCAAGCGCTTTCTACCTTGCACTTAAAAAAAATTCAAGAAGTTGAACGCTTGACGTACACCTTCCCTAGAACTTTAAGTACTGACAGAGGTATTGATTGGGTCGACCGGTCAACTGCGACAATTCTGCTATATCCCCTTCCACGTCTCTTAGCGATGTGTTTCTCGGTTTATTTCATACGTTTGGCAACATGTTTACTGTCCTCTCTTTGTTCAGTACGTTATAAACGCATTGTACTCTTCTTACATACGAAAATCTCGACCCAAGACTAACCTTTGCCAGCCCTTAGTACTAACATACCGAATCTCGTTTTTTTATCTGAAAAAAAAAGTTATAGGGTTGCCCCACTTTTAAAAGACACCTGGTATGTCCCAAAATCAGAATATTTCAAACCCTCTAATCTTGTAGGATATCGTAAGGCATAGAAGGATAAAAAGAAGACCTAAAATCGTCAAACCTGTCAATACGACTGGCACGTGTGTCCTGGGAAAACAACAACAAAAATATCAACCCTTATAAAAGTTCTTCTGGTGTTGTATTCACTCTGCTGTACGTACGCCTAAATTCTATGAATAAATTTTCACATTTCGGTTTGACAGAGTATGTTTCTCGTGTTTGATACTATTTTTATATATCTAATAATAATTATACAGGGTGTACCTACATGACATGCCAATATTTGAAAGGATGATTCTTGGAGAAATTTCATATAAATGTATGACCTAAAATATATTTTGAGACAAGAGGGTTGTAAAATTTTCTTTTTAGATAATGAAACAAAATATGTTTTATTTTACCAATTATATTATTTCCATTCTCTTTGATGAAAAATTTAGTAGATTCTAATAAAATTAATGACTCGCCCGTTTTAAAATTAACAAAAGTAACGAGTAAAATGTCAAAGAAAACGAAGAACAGTCAGACACATTTTCTTTTAATGAATAAACAATTTGTTAGTCTTTATTATTTCTTTGAGGCGCCTTGTACCGGCCCCTTCGCTCTTCTTTTTCGATGGAAAATAAAGCAAAAGAAAATATAAAGTGTAAGTAATTTTACTGGGTTTTTCTTTCAAGAGCCATCGAAAACGATCTAGAAGTGTTTGTTGGTATGAAATTATAGGGTTATAAAAGTAGGAGTTTTGTAGGAATTTTAGATTTAGCTGTAGGTACTCTTATTTTTTTATATTAAAGAAATTGTTGTCTTAATGATGATACATTGATGCAAAAAAACGCAACGGAGAAATTATTGGTCAAATTTTAAAATGTTATATTTTTGGTATTTTCAGCCATATTTTCATGAATTTTTAGCAAACTGTATACAGAGTGTCATTGAAATGGCGTAAAAAAATCAGGGGGTGATAGTACTCCTAAAAATATTAAAAAAAGTCCCTATAGGGCGGAAAATGCATATTAAGGGAGTTAGGGGCACTGAAAGGGTGAATTTAAAAACGGTTGTTTTGAAATTGTAGGCTTAAAAAACGAGATAAAATTTCGAAAAAAAATCCTCTGCCATAAATTTTGACCCTAAATCAAATGGTGATACTGAAAAATTATTTGGAAAAGCGGAAACGATAGTTTTTGCAAGGGTAGGGGGTTATTTCGTGAATAAATTTTTTGAGGTTATTTTTTTTGTAACGTGGGTTCATTTTTTAAAGACTACATACTTTTTAAGGTACTCTTGTTGTACATCGCCCAGAGCGATGGTTTTCGAGAAAATTGAAGGCAAAGAGTTTGCTCTGATGGGTTGCTAACTCGTTAATGAACATAAACTTATGAAAGTTATGGCGGTTCAAAAGTAACCAACTAGTTATTAAATAATTAATTGGGAAATCAAAATTTCATGATTTTTAAAACATCTTATTGCTTTAAAAACGAAATAAATCAATTACCAAAATTCCTTTTTAAAATAATGCATTCCTTAATTCATTCATAGTAAATGTTTAAAGTGACCACCATTCATTTCAATGCAGAGATCTGCTCCAAGATCTGCGTACCCTGTGGAATATCCTTGGTGTTGTCCAAATTTGATTGGAACAGTCAATAATGCGTTGCCCTAGTTGCTCTTCAGTATTAATCGGCACTGAGTATACCAAAGCTTTCATGTGGACCCAGAAGTAGAAATCTATGGGATTATTTCGTTTTTGAAAGCAATAAGATGTTTTAAAAATCATAAAATTTTGATTTTTCAATTAATTATTTGACAACTACTTGGTTACTTTTGAACCGCCATAATTTTCATAAGTTTATGTTGATTAACCAGTTAGCAACCCATCAGAGCAAACTCTTTCCCTTCAATTTTCTCGAAAACCATCGCTCTTGGCGATGTGCAACAAGAGTATCTTTTTTGTAGGAAAAAGTATGTAGTTTTCAAAAAATGAATCCACGTTGCAAAAAAAATAACCTCAAAAAAGTTATTTACGAAATAACCCCCTTCCCTTGCAAAAACTACCCTTTCCGCTTTTCCAAATAATTTTTCACTATCACCATTTGATTTAGGGTCAAAATTTATGGCAAAGCATTTTTTTTCGAAATTTTATCTCGTTTTTTAAGCCAACAATTTCAAAACAACCGTTTTTTAAATTCACCCTTTCAGTGCCCCTAACTCCCTTAATATGCATTTTCCGCCCTATACTTATATTTATATACTTATAGAACTTTTTTTACTATTTTTAGGAGTACTATCACCCCCAATTTTTTTACACTATTTCAATGACACCCTGTATACAGCTTGCTAAAAAAATCATGAAAATGGGGCTAAAAATAACAAAAATATAACGCTTTAAATTTGACCAAAAATTTCTTCTTTGCGTTTTGCTTTTGCATTGAGTGTACTAATTATTTATCTCTGTATAATATAATAATAATACCTATAAAGGACAAAATCTCAGGTTATTTCGGTCTGTTTTCATTCCATGACACTCAAAAACAGACAAACAGACCGAAATAACCTGAGATTTTGTCCTTTATACTAAAAAGTACGGTCGAGAAACAATCCTTAAATTAATATAATAATGTTATATTTTACCTATAGTTTTAATTTTTTTTTAAATAAAATTTTACTCATTCCAAACACGTTTACTAGTTAATACTCCAAAATCATCCTATACCTATGCATACAGGGTGTTCATTAATGATATGCTAATATTTAAGAGGGTAATTCTTGAACTTATTTTAAACAAAAAACTTATAAACATATATATGAATATCCTTAACATCTTAACTTTTGAGATACAGGGTGGTAAAATTTTCTAAAAAAAAGTTTTTCATAATAACTCTGTTATTGTGAAATTTTTATACTCGTCTATTATGCTTTAAAATTATTTTAATTTTTTAAGTAAAAACTATGCGTCTGACGGAAAAAATCAAGAGTAGAAAATTGTTTAGAAATGAATGAATATTTTGAAAATAATTTTTATTCTAAGAGAAGTCAGTGGCGTACCATTTTTTCCTTCAAAAATGTTCAATGCAAAACACATATGAACGCCACAGGTTGAAATAGATAAAATTCTTTGTAGATCAAAATAGGCATATTTTTAGAAATTTTCACCACCTTGTATCTCAAAAGTTAAGTCGTTTAGGACACATATTCATATGAGGTTTTTTTCTTGGAATAGGTCCAGGAATCACCCCCTTAAATATTAGCATGTCATTAAGGAACACTCTGTATTTTAAGCATCATTAGAAAAAATCTTGCATCTTTATCAGAAACCGAGTGCATTAAAATGCGCATTTTTTAAAAAAATTGAACTTTTTCCACTCTTTCGTGATTGATATAAAAAAATTAAAAAAACAGTAAAAATACTTAATTCCTCCACTTACCTTTCCTTTTTCTCTATCGCTTCTTATCGGCCCAAACACCCAACTCGGAGGACGTGTCGCGGCTGGTTCGCGAGAGCCGACACTCAACAGGTTAGAGTGGCTTCGAAAGGGAGGCGAGAGCGCGCGTTAAAGGGGGACGCGCTGGTGTGTTGTTGCGGGCGCAAAGGGCACGGCGTCGTGTGGCGAAAAGTCGCCGCTCCAGCGCCTTTTAAAGGGCGCCGGATTTTCGGCATGACACGCGCGATCTAAACCTACACACGATCGCCGGTCCGGTGCGGTGGTATGGACCAATGAACAGGTAATTTTGGGTTTGAGACTAAAGCTAAGTGATGGTTTATTAACATAATGGGTATCTAGAATACCAGCCAAAAAAAAACAGGTGTACAGTGAAGCTTCTAGGGGTTGGTGCATCGTCGTTGGAAATATAGGAAATCCCATGCAAATTTTGAACTATACAGACAATTATATCCAACATCGCATCACTATTTTACCTACCACTCCATTAACTGGACCAGAACCGTTCTGTTTTCCAAACGGGAACCAACTGAAAGCGGAACTGAAGAATCTGGAAGACTCCAACCGTAACTTGGAATGGGTGTCCTCCAACACTCTAGGAAACTCGAAAAAGTTCCTCAGAACTTACGACCGAGAAAAATCAAAGGTTTTCATTGATTTAAGTAAAAACAATCTTCGGATTGTCACGGGGTTTCTAACAGGACACTGTCTCCTCAACGAACATCTCAGTAGGCTGAAGCTGAGAAACAACGGCGAATGCAGATTCTGTGGGGAAAATGGGGAGACACCAGAACACCTTATCACTGAGTGCGCCGAGACAACGACCATTCGTGCCATAAACTTTGGTACGGCTGATGTCGAGGATGGAGCGCTGGCCTCTGTGAAGCCGTCTCAGATACTGGCTTTTTTTAAAGCCTTGAGACTGTATGACGAGTTATAACTCGTTATAACTCAAGAAAGGGGAACACACAATAGATCTGTAAGGTCGCGGTGATTAACTCCCCTCCTTAACATTCTACATCACTATTTTAGCATTCCGGCCAATCATAGTTCCAATTATCCCAAAGGACATTCCAGCCTCGCGTAGGCCCATTTTTTCAACTTATTATTATTTATAAAAAAATTATGAAACAAACTCATATTAGAACTAATATGCATAATATTCGAAAGTATGATACTCTTATGTCTTTTTAAAGTTTTTATTTCAATAAATAATTAAAATATGCTCTTTTTATAAACGTAAGTTAGGTACTACACTACTTCAGCATAAAAAATATACATAAACCCTGTTTATACTTGTTAAAACTGAGGTCTATTAGCCTCAAAATGAAACAATAAACCACCCTAGTTAATAACTTTTATTATTACGTCATACAACTTGTATGTTAAATAGAGACGAGTACGGTCGTACTGCTGTTCTCGTACTGCCTCGAAGTTGGCGCCATAGCGACCAAACCAAACCAAACCAAACCTCTCTCTGCAGTGTGTAGCTCGTAGCTTCGTAGCCTCCTGATCCGCGCATACGCGGAGCAGTTACTTTGGCTCTGGATCATTTCGGTCTTCCTGATATCGACGGATATCTAACATACTTATTACATTTCTTGTATTTTGTTACACCCCATACCGGGTATGCCTCAAAAGTGGCTCATCCCTATAACTTTTTTATTTTTTTAGATAACAAATCGTTATATGGTATTTTACGTATGTAGATTTTTGGTATGACGTAAATTAGGATTGATTGACGTATTCAATTGTTTTTGGTCACTTCCTGTTTTACGGGAAATGACTACAACTTTTGATTTTTAAATAGCATCCTCGGTATTTTGTTACTTTATTCGATAGAAAATGACACTTTAAATAGAATGACATATCATATGTCAACTTCAGACACTTTTGCTTAAAAATGGTATATATTACATTTCAATCTAGAGTGCCATGGCCGTATTAAAAACACAAATTTTTAATCAAGGAGCTTTGGAAAAATCGATTTGATTGTCTAATATTTTTCGTGTCTTGGTCCTGGCCGGTTAAAAGATGTGCAAATCGCATTTTTAATCACATTTCAATTTTTTCAAATTAAACCAGGGTGGCTTATTAGCATATTTAGAAAAAAACCTTTTTTACGAATAATTTGGTACCACATATTTGGTATTATGAGTCAAATTGTCGTTATGAACCGGATGTTACAAATTCAAATAAATCATATGCGAAAATGTCAGAAGTTGACATATGATATCCATGACATATATCATTCTATTCAGAGTATCATTTTCTATCGAATTAAGTAAAAAATACCGAGGGTGCCATTTAAAAATCAAACATTGTAGTAATTTTCGCTGAAACGGGAAGTGACAGAAAAGAATAGAATATGATCAATCAATCCTAATTTATGTTATATACTAACATACCAAATTTGGTATTTTTATCCAAAAAAAATAAAAAAATTATAAAGGTGAGCTACTTCGAGACGCACCCAGTATAGGTACTAATAGATTGATCTATTTTTATTTTTACCTCTAATATTTCCAATAGTTCCTCATCGATATCACATCGATAAAAAATGATAAAAACAATAAAAGTTTCAATAATAAAAAGTAGAGACTAGAACTGCAATTTGATTTATAGAGGATAAAATTAATAATTTTCTATCAATAAATCTTTAGGTAGGAAGAGAAAAATACAATATTATAGTTTGCTACATACAGATATACATTATCTACGTTTATATTAGAACCAAGAATGCCTCTAGTCTGTTACATATTATGTAGTTACTATTTCACTTGATATTATCTGAAAACAAAATGCCTAAAAGGGATAATGCGAATTACATGCTTGAACAGAACATTTATTTGAAGGGTCTAGTAGAAGACCCTCTTTTGATTCTATTATGTTCCTCTGTGTTAAGTTTAACCCATATACTGTCGGCATTATTTTCATAAAAAAAATATGATAATTAGACCTGTTCTACTAACTGCTGATGAATTGTTCCATCACACAGAATTTTTGCCTTACTTTGATAAAATGATAGGTTCACCCAGTAAAGTAGAAATTTTTCACAAAACAATTGTAATGACGTAGATATGTAATTTTCAATTTCTTATGTTATTGTGAATTATATATTTAACTAGAGTGTACCAGCGACTTCGTTCGCGTCGAATTAATCATTTGTAATGGTGATGATAAAGCATAGCAAGAATTTCCATTAACATACAAACTGGATAAAATTTTCTCAAATTTATGCCAGCATGAGAAAAAACAATATGGCGATATTATTATATAACTTGATAATATTTGAGGGGCAGTTTCATCTCGTTGGAATTTGACTTTCTAAAAATCCGTTTGCCAAAAATAAGCTTTTTACGTCAAGCAGTTTAAGCAGAATCGTGGTTAAGAAATAACCTAACTTTTTGGAACACCCTGTATGATTTTTTTTAAAAATTTCAAAACATGAAAAAAAACAAAATAAATTATGCATGTCCAAGCGTTTTCCCGAAAGACTAACCGTTTTTTAAATAACAAATATTGTGATATTTGAGGGGCGTTTTTACACTCTTGGAATTTAAGATTCGAGAAACCCCTCCTTATCGAACCTCTACACCCCACAGTCAATCCGTTTGCCAAAAATCAGCTTTAAACGTCAAGCAGTTTAAGCAGAATCGTGATTACTCAGTGGTCATATTTTATGAAAAACCCTGTATACATTTTTTAAAAATCTTAAAATATATGTAAAACAACAAAATAAAATATATGTGTTTAAGCGTTTTTCCGAAAAACTCACCGGTTTTTAAATAAAAAATATTCTAATATTTGAGGGGTGGTTTCACCCCCTTAGGATTTGAGTTTCGAAAAATCTCTTCTTATCGAACCTCTACACCCTAAAGTCAATCCGTTTTCCAAAAATCAGCTTTTTACGTCAAGCGCTTTAAGCAGGATCGTGATTAATCAATGACCAGATTTTTCGAAACACCCTGTATACATTTTTAAAAAATCTTAAAATATGTAAAAAAACAAAATAAAATATACGTGTTTAAGCGTTTTTTCGGAAACTTGACGGTTTTTTAAATAAAAAATATTGTAATATTTGAGGGGTGGTTTCACCCTCTTGGAACTGGAATTTCGAAAAATCCCTTCTTATCGAACCTCTACACCCTAGAATCAACCTGTATGCCAAAATTGAGCTTCTTACGTTGAGTGGTTTGAGCAGGATCGTGATTAATCAGTATGTCAGTGATTTTATATATTAGTATAGATTTGGGAAAAATCAAAATAAAAATGAAACTTCTACACCCTGTATCGCCGAAACTAAGAATTTTAGGACATACATTTATAGGAACTTTTTAACTTATTATATTCCGGAAACTTCTGCAGAATATGCTGCCGAAGTTTCCGGAATACAGTTTGGATCACCTTGTAGATATATTTTTTTATTGTGAAAATAATTAAAAAAAATATTTGTAGCTATAAAAAAGCGTGTATTATTTTACAACAGCAAACCTTCATATTTGCACATTTCCATAAACTCTAATACACATACACATACAACACGCGTATTGAAATAGGACATTTTTTATAATTCTCCTCCATTTTAATCGGTTCTATTTTTCATGTTCTCCCCGACTCGGCACGTCGTAAAAACAGTCATTACGGTCCAGAAGAATGCACCTCGGACATGTAAACTTTTTGTCATATCCACTGAATACGTTTTCCTTAATGGAATAATAATGGAGGTTTGCAAATGGTGCTTCCAGTCTAATATAGAATAACGGTCTCTATTTTAACGATTGAATCCGCACAAAATCATTTACGTCCTGTGTCCTTTTCGTGTTTTCTTTTTTTCCTATTATTTTGAAATACTCTTATTTAAAAAATGTCTATACCTATGTGGCGGATGGATCTCTCCAAAAAAATCCTATATGGGTATTTCTCCACTGCAAGAAAATCGACAAAATAAAATAATTATTTTTTGTAAACACTGCTGGCGTTAATCCAAAGGAGACTACTTGACAGCAGTTTGGTTTACTGATAAACACATTTGCCTAAAGAACAAAAAAATTCTTAACGTTTCTGAAAGTTTATCTCTTCGGAAGCAAAAAAATACAAATAATAAAGAAATAACTATTTAAAATATTTAAATACAACTATTCGAAATCACTT